TGTCCCCTTTGCAAACACCGACAGCTTCTTTGTGATCTGTAATCACATAGAAAAGACAGTGAGTGATGCAAAATTTTTATATGGAACATTACTTCCATATTTCAGGTCTGTACTACTACTAATGTTGTATTTTCAATTATTTTGATTGAAATGTAAAAATAGTTACCTTTTTGGTGGAGTCCATCTTCAGGATGCAGCCATATGTGGACGTTATGCTGACTTTTATGTGGTCCAGCCTGCACAAGATATCTCGGCCATAAACAGCCAGCATCCACCTGTGGGAGGGGATAGTTTCGGGCTCAAGTGGCTCCTGAAACCTCACAGGGAGCAGACTTGGCTGGGAAGTGAAGTCTGAGCAGGCACCAAGGTACCGGCAAAGACGCTTCAGCCACTCCTCGCTGTGGTTCTCCCGCAGCTTCCTCACCAAGCGAGAAGGGCTGTTGCCCAGGGCCCTCTCCCTCAGGAACCTTATGACCCGCATGTCACAGGCATATCTGAATAAAACAAAGGGAAAGAGAGACAGAAAGACACAAACATTAAAACCAGCTCATCTCAATTGTGTTTTAAATGACAAACATTTGTTACACAAGCTAAATAATCTCAGTATACTCACTTTCGAGTTAGGATCAGCCTAAATTCCAGCCTGTGAGCTAAGTCCAGCTGGTCCAAGATGGCCTTGCTGGTGGAAATAAAGGCCGTTTTGCACCCAACTGCACTGCACCAGAGAGTCTCCGTGATCATCAGGTTGTACCAGTCCACATCCAGAACCTGGCGCGCTCTCTTGTGCGCCCCATAGCCTGTGAGCTGTCTCCAACACACAGGACAGGACAGCCTGACCTTCCAGAGGTGGTATGGCATCCACAGTAGACGCCTGTGTGTAAAGAAACGCTCTGGAGCGGGGCCTTGGTGATAAATCAGAGCTAGCTCTGGTGGATCATACCACAGCTTCAGGTCGGTACGAAGCCGATGTTGCTTCCACAAAGCTGCTGAAACCCACTTCTGATCCTGTGGTGGTATGGTTTTCAGCAACTTTGTGGGAAGCCATCCAGACTCTGAACCTGGAGCGGTCACCATATTCTCGGCAGGTTGGACAGAGGATCCAGCCACAGATGGAGCAGCAGAGGGAACACAGGCGGAGCTGATAACAGCGGTGAGAGGAGCAGAGGAGGTCCCAGAGGAGGCAGTGGCTGACACTTCCTAATGTATTAAAAAAGACAAACATATAGATATGATTACAAGCCACTTATGAGGAATGTTTGTTCAAAATTTTTAATATTTATGTGATCCAACAATATTAGTGTGAAGAAAACAATTAAATGAGAGTTTCTCACAGCTCTAGAAGCAGCTCTTGGAGCACAGGAAGCAGAGGTGGCTTCAGACACAGAAGAAGGAGGAAGAGACGGGGGGAGACAGTGTGGATATACAGCCTGGGATTGCGGGCAGGCGATGGTGTCCTAGATGCAGGGCTGGACAATGCAGAAGTGCTAATAGGCTGCAAGAGTAAGAGAGCACAGTTTACAATATTGAATGAAATAATGTATCATTATCAGGTATTGCAGTAACGATGATTAGATAAACTCAGCATATCTTTATAGAATGAAGTTTCATTTTCTTGACTATACCTTGGTTGCATGCGTCCTTGCCACACCTACGTTTGGCTTTAAGCTGCACCATGGGACCCACCATACCGCGGCTTTGTAATCTGACAAAAAGAAATTGATAACATTATGTGAAGCCTTTTAAAATGTTATATAACATATGATAACATAAATATCTGCATAAAGACATGCATTTACAGATGCCAAAGTCAAAGTAGGCTTTAAAGGTGCATTCCCAGATGTCGTTCCTGACTGCCCTGGTGTTACAGGTAGTGACGTGGATGGTGTGGATGACACAGGGGCCACAGGGGCCAAACTGGAAGGCTACAGTTACACAGAAAAGGAAATTAAATTCAAAAATACACCATCAACACATCACAGTTTTATGAAACACTTCTTATACCTTTTTCGTATGTCACTTGTCTGTGTCCCCCCAAACAGAGACATTTGCCCCCTTTGTTGCAGTGGACACTTCTCAATCTGTAACATATGACAGTGAATCATAACTATCTGTTCTCTCTAAATATGACATAGCTTTCCTGTGTTTATATACATGTCCAAGTTTACCTTCTGATACAGCTCATGCCATTTCTTCTGGCGTGGTGCCGGTCTGTTTCCCGCCTCAGAAGGCCAGACCCCCACTGTGGCAAATCTGCGCAGGCGGGCCATCCATTCACCCTCACTCATAGCCCTGTGCTTCTTGTGCTTGGAAGCCATCTTCCAATAAAAGATAGCGTGTGGCAAAATACAAAGTTTATGACTATTCAGTAGAACTGAGTTAATCAGTTTCATACATTTATTTCACATAGCACATATTTCATTTCAGTGTTTTTGGACAAGGTTATAGTTTGATATTTGGGAGGAGGGGATAATGTGGTGTGTGGGTATAATAATATGCCATAAGTCAATAAAAATCAGATTATTACATACCATTTCGATTACATAGACTTACAATTAGCCTACATTATGTTTATTATCGATTAGCCCACTTAAACTACTAACTTCACTTCTTCCCCGGAGTTCTTGTGCTTTCTCGTCTCACAGGTTCTTGTCGATCCTGGTGGAGCCTCCTGCCATGGTCCTGCTAGATTGCCATTGCCAATACTGTTGTTGCTGTGCACCTGTCTGTCTGTCTGTCTCTCGCTCTCTCTGTCTGTCTGTCTGTCTGTCTGTCTGTGTCTCTCTCTCTCTCTCTCTCTCTCTCTCACCCCAACTGGTCGAGACAGACGACCACCCACCTAGAGCCGAAGGGTCTGTCCTAGGTTTCTGCCTTTTAAAAGGCAGTTTTTCCTTGCCCTTGTCGCCAAGTGCTTGCTCATGGTGGTACTGTTGGGTCTCTGTAATTAATGTTTTAAAGAGTTCGGTCTAGACCTGCTCTATTTGAAAAGTGTCCTGAGATAACTTCTGTTATGAATTGGCACTATACAAATAAAATTTAATTTAATTGAAATTAAACAACACAAGCCCCATATTACGTCATAAAACATCATGATAAAGTTAATAGAAGTTTTTAAGACGTTCTTCTCTGTAACATTAGTACACGTAATGCGTTTTAGCTAACTTAACTAAATATAACAACATTGTCGGCTTCTTACCTCGATGTAGTAACGTTAATCCAAAGTAAGTCGAGTACTCTGACACCTGTAAAGTTTCAACTTTTTTTCTTTTAAACAGCTGGAAACCACTTAACCTCTGGCGATGCTTCGTCAGGTAGATGGAAAGTTTTTGGGAACGAACGATAGTCATTGGTTGTCAACAAAGGCAAGGAGATGGAGATTTCGGAAATGGACTTTATTGATTGGCTGTAAGCTGTGAGGTAAAGATTAACATACTGATACGTGATTGATGCATAGTATATATAAAAAAAAGTTGGAAATGGATCATAGTCACTGGCTGTCAACAGAGGCTAGGAAACGGAGATGATGGGATTAGGCTTTATTGATTGGCTGTGAACATAGATGGAAAGATGCCAATAGTGATCCGTGATTGGCTGGCAATTGACAGTCTCTCGTTCTCCCGGCACCGCAAATCGAAGGGGCACGCACTGTTTTGTGGGGGATTTTTGTTTCTGCAGAAGAATGTACATAAGAGTTTCATTTCATGTGATATGAATATTTCCCAGAAGTCTGTGTAAGCTATACAGCTTTGTATGTGTCTGTTAAAATGAGAACAACACAGCGGGTCAGGTTTCATTCATTCTTTATTTTTTCTTGTGTTAATCACTCGTACTCCAGCAATTATTTTGATGGGAAAGAAATCCACATTTAAAGAAGGGACAAAACGGAAATGGTGAGTTTCTAGTTGTGGCTCAGACTCAAAAAATCCAATTCAGCAAGCCAAGAGAAACTAATAAAACTAATAGTGACATTTATTTCAGTTTCATTGTTTAGAAATCAAAGCCATTCAAATTAAAAGCAACATAAGTGACTCACTGATCATACAGGATCATTGTGCAGTGTTTGGGCCAACAGAGCAAGAAAACTGGGATTTTACAATGTTTAAAACAATCATTTTCATCATGCCACCTGTACTTTTACAGGGTTAGGGTAAGGATAGGGGAACTGAAACGCATAACGGGAGGTAAGTGGTGTAATTATTTATTGATTTATTTATAAATCCAATATGAATAACAATCAAATGAAATCCAAAAAGTTTTTTAACTTAAATGTTTCTAAATTAAATTATTTATTTCTTTGTGTGTGCCTTGTGCGCAACGTTTAAACCACATAGGTCTTCTTCAGGCGAAGGCACAAGAAGACAAAAAGGTAAGTGCTTGTGTGACTGGCAGAGCTGCTTTCCGTTCCGTGGTCAGAGCAAGAATACCCGCCCCTCAACATCAGCTACAAACAAAAGCTGTGTTTTTAACTGAATTGATGTTATGAATTTGATTCCTGATTGTAAATATATTTATGAAACTTTTAATTTGTTATATTCTTCTCATTTTATTAATTAATATATTAATTTATTTTTTAATCAATTTTTGTCCTTTTAATTATTTATCAATCAGGAAATTAAATTAGGGCCAAAGGTCAAGGAGTGGTTAGGGCAAAGGGGAATTGGTTAGGTGAGGGGAACTGAACCGGGATTCCACCTAGGTGGAATCCAGAGATGCACGGTCCTTCCTACGGATGGCCAGCTCCCCTTCCCCATCTTTTATGTTTAGGTTTATATATATTATTTATTAAAATTATTTCTTAGACAAGTTCGCCTTTGTTATATCAAGTATAATTTTTAACCCAAACCCTAACCCTTTTTTGTATTTTTGTTGTTGGCTTCTTATAATTCCCTCCCATATTTTGTTTTGGTTAACCTGTTGTTTTCTTTTATATGTTGTGGTGGAAATTCAATTCAGCCCATTCATGTGAGATGCAAGAATTAGACAGAGTCAATCAGTTTGTCTTTTCACCCGGGTGTAACTCTGCGCAGAGTGAGCCTCTCCGCTTGTTAGCATGAGAAGGACTCCCTTTTCAGAGCTGCACCCTTATTTATTGAAGAAAGAGAAACAAATCAGGTGGTACATAGGAGATAACAGTTTGAATGAACGTCATAACCTTGATCAAAGGGAGATGTCTGGGGCCAGTCTCTAGAGGAGTCATCCTCTCCTCCCATAGCGACAGTAAAACAATTGAGACATTGTAATCACCGGTTGACCGTTAATCTTCATCGTGTGGGAGAGGTACCAGGTGCTGAGGGCACCCTTGAAACAGTTAGGCATTTTTGTACACACAATAGTTCATAAGCATGAGGTTACATAGAGTGCATGCACTATAAGTCATGAGAGTGAGGTTACTATAGAGTGTATTAAAGTGTTTACATAAAATGTATCATAATGTATTAAAATTTTCCATTACACTCCTCCCTTTTGATCATACTATTGATCAATAAAGAATATACAAAATTTTCAACTGTGTGGTGTCAGTAACTGAAATTCACTTAGATTCAAACAGTTACATCATATTGTAGAGTTGGTTGAGGGCAGTGTAACTGCGTACGTCACTTGTGACGCTCACTTAATCAGCCACCGCTAGTCGTGCTGGCCAATGTCAGTGACACCCTCGTCGTTGGTCTATTGTGTCTGAGTAGTTGTGCTAGGGTCCGGTACCCTTCTGCAGTGGCTGGCGTGGATCCAAGTGGCTCGTTCAGCAACCTTTATTGCTGTGTGGGTTGTGAGTAACACCTGAAATGGTCCCTGCCACCTTCTGGCTTGCCAGTTTTTTCTCCTGAAGTCTTTCACCACTACGTAGTCCCCTGGCTGCAGAGAGTGCAGTGGGAATGCTGCCGGTCGTGGGAGTGTTGCTGTCACCTGCTGTCTTATGGAGGAGAGAGCAGATGAGAGGTTAGTACAATATGTGATCATGTCATGCTCACACAGTGAGGTAGATGGGGGTGGAGAGTCCGGAGGCTGTGTTCCAACATGAGGAGGTGCTGCAAACAATACTTCAAAAGGTGACAAATTTGTTCTGGCCCTCCTCCTCATTCTCATGTACATCAACACCAGGGGCAGAGCTCTTGTCCATGAGAGACCTGTGTCTTCACAGCACTTAGCCAGTTTCGCTTTTAGGGTTCCATTCTCTCTCTCTACAGCTCCACCACTAGCAGGATGGTATGCACAGTGTGTTCTAAGATCAAACCCCATGTAGCCACTGATTTGTTTAATAGCCTCATTTACAAAATGGGTGCCATTGTCGCTGGAGATTCTGCCCGGGATTCCCCATCTGGGGATTATCTCCGAGAGAATCGCCTTTGCCACCACGCTGGCGGTTTGTTTGGAGGCTGGAAAAGCTTCAACCCATTTTGACCACATGTCTACCATTACCAAACAATGTGACTTTCCCTCTGATGGGGTGAGCTCGATGAAATCCATCATTATGTGTTCAAAAGGTCTAGTGGGTGGTGTATGCGCTGCCTGACCTGTTACGGCCACCGGTCGTCCCACATTATGTGTTGCACACACCATACATGCTTGACAGTATTTTTGAGCGTAGCTTGAAAACCCCTTTGTGAACCAAAATTTGGTTATATCATTTAACATCCCCCCTTTTGACACATGGTCTTTACCATGTGTTAATTTAGCGTAGTGAGGAAAAAATTTCCTGGGGAGACTAGGTTTGTTATCAGGACCCATCCAAACATCATCTTTCAAAACTGCCCCGCATGTTTTCCACAGTCGTTTCTCATCCGCTGTGGCAGAAGCCTGCATTGCTGTGAGAGAGGAAGGGAGGGCATTAGGTGTGTGTGTGTGGAGGGTGTACAGGAATGTGGGAGTGAGTGTGAGGAAGCGATACAGCCGCCGCTGTCTTTGCAGCTGCATCTGCTCTTGCGTTCCCCAGGGAGACAATGTCTTGATGTCCTGTATGTGCTGCACATTTACAGACTGCCAGTCGTGTGGGTAGCATGATAGCAGAGAGCAGGTCACTGATCAGGTTGTGATGTGCAATGTGTTTGCCTGAGGACGTGAGAAATTTCCTGTGACGCCATAATGCCCCAAAATCATGTACCACCCCAAATGCATATCTGGAATCAGTGTAAATGGTTACTGACTTTCCTTCTCCCAATTTGCATGCCTCAGTGAGTGCTATGAGCTCCGCTGCCTGGGCTGAGAGGTGGCGAGGAAGAGGGCCTGAGCGCAGGGTGGCATTGTCTGAAACAACAGAAAAACCAACACAGTTATTGCCAGAAACCGGGTTCCTGGAGGCAGAGCCATCAACATAGAGAACCAAGTCAGCATTTTGCAAAGGAACATCAGATAAATCAACACGTGGTGTGCATTGTATTTGTAACTCAGCCAGGCAATCATGTTCCTCATGTTTAACAGTAACATTCGGCATGTCCAATGACACAGTATGGTAACTTAACCAGCGAGCAGTGGACAAGTGAGACGTTTTCTGCTCGAGTAGGATGAGTGAAACCGCGTGAGGAACGAGTAAGGTGACGTCAGAATAGCCCACAATATCTCTTGAGGCCATTAGAGCTTTTTCACACGCTGCCACGGCGCGCAGGCAGCGTGGAAAACCTGCTGCAACCGGGTCCAATTTGGCTGAAAAGTAAGCTATCGGTCGGAGACGGTCACCATGAGGCTGCATTAGTACTGACGTCATACAACCTGCCCTTTCATCCACGGCCTGAGTGAATGGTTTCACGGGATCGGGGAGACCCAATGTGGGTGCGCGCTGCAGCTCCTCTTTCAGTGTGAGGAACGCCTGGTATGCTTCCGGTGTCCAGGTCACGTGATCACTCGAGGAGAGATTTTTCCCGTGGTACAATGCACCTAAAGGAGCTTCGAGAAGAGCAAAGTTAGGAATGAATGTACGGCAGTACGAGCATGTTCCCAGAAATGACATCACTTGTTTCTTTGTTACAGGTTTGGGTAGAGTTCTTATCGCTTCAATGCGTTTTGGAGACAGTGTTTTTCCTTTCCCTGAAATGTCATAGCCCAGAAATGTAACTGCCTGTTTCACATATTGCAGTTTACTCAGGCTGACCTTGTGGCCCTCTGTGGCGAGGTGTCTGAGCAGTTTAAGTGTGTCTCTTTCGCACTGCTCTTGGGTTGGGGCAGCAATGAGCAAATCATCAACATACTGCAACAATGCAGTACCTGGGGTCAACACTAGGGGGTCAAGGCTGGCACTCAAAGCTTGGTTGTAGAGGGATGGTGACTCACAATACCCCTGACATAACCGAGTGAAGGTGTAGGCTTTCCCTTCAAAGTTGAACGCAAACCAGAACTGACTGTCAGGATGCACAGGAACACTGAACAAAGCATTAGACAAATCAACAACAGAAAACCACTTTGCCCCTGAAGGTATTTGTGCTAACAAGGTGTATGGATTAGGCACAATAGGTGCATGTGGTATCACAGCGTCATTCACAGCCTTCAGATCTTGCACAAAGCGCCACTCCGTAGGCTGACCCCTGTCCCTTATCTTTTTTACAGGGAAAATGGGGGTGCGTACGGGGGAGTCAGGGCAAGGAATGATCACACCAGCCTGCAAAAGAGATTTGAATACAGGAGTTATGCCCTCAATTGCTTCCTTTTTCAGTGGATATTGTTGTTTGCATGGGCGAAAAGTGGATTTTGGTGTTATTTTTACTGGTGCACAGTTTTTTATTAACCCCACATCGTACTTTCCTTGCGCCCACAAGGTGTCAGGTAATGACGCCAATGCAGGGGAGACATCAGTTGGACAGGACACAAATGATTGAGAGCAGTGAGATCTGGGAACGCTCAACAAATAGACTGAGCGCAGGGCATTAGTTGTGCAATGAAATGGTTTCTTATAGATGTTAAAACAGGCTGAGTACATAACTGATGGGTCCCTGGTGGGGCACCAATCCGTTATGTTAAGACATTTTTTAACAAACGGCCCCAGACCTTTCCATTCGTCTGTTGTGGCTTTGGAGAGCGAGATGTGAGGGCTGGAAAACTCAACATGAAAGTCCTTCATTTGCCCTTCAGTCAGTGACACAGAGACTGCGCTCCGTGTCCCTGACCAAAACAGGGTGGAGGTACACAAAACATCATTCAAATCCTGATAAAAATGTTTCTCAAAATCATGGTCTGGACCCTCGGAGACATAGGCTGTACAATGTAAGCTTTCAGCTCTCATAAAGTCAGCATGACGGGACACTAACTCTCTGGCCTGTCTGACCAGGTCTGTGGCAAGGGGGTGTGGTATTCTCCACTGATACACATACAGAGGGGTTTTTGCACTGTGTTGGACCATGGAGAGTGCATGGTGTCTGCGCACCACTTTCAGACCGTCAGGAGTGGACTCCAAACTAATGTTCAACGTCAGCATGAGATCTCTGCCCATCAAATTTATGGGGCAGTGTGGGGACAGTAAAAACCCATGTTTTGTTGAGACTGTATCTCCATCAATAGTGTTTGAACATTGCAGTGGCACAGTGAATTTTTCTTTAACAATAGCTCCCGTTGCCCCCTGTGAATGGACGAAATTTCCGCTCATTTTCACATTTGTTAAGTACTTTTCCTGAATGACTGAATAAGTTGCCCCTGAATCCACTAGAAATGTCATCTGCTTCCCTTTTATAGTTAACACTGTTTTGGGCATACGAAGGAAAGGTTCTGTACTGTATTTTACATATGTGCCTGTTAAAGGTGTTTTTTGCATGCGCTGTTCTAAGTGAGCAATTGCCTGCTCTACTTTCTCTCTGTCTGTGTGTGTGTGTGTGTGTGTGTGTGTGTGTAGCAGATGCGGTTAGTGCAGAAAGCGATTCTTCATTGCGTGTGTGTGTGTGTGTGTATTTCACTTCCCTTTAATGATGTGCAGGCAGGATCACAGCTCGTCTCCTCTCCCCGTGCCCCTCCATCCGCCTCTCAATCGGAGTAAGCCTTAGTTTTGTGTGTTCTGCCGGAGTCGTCTGGGTTTCCGGACAGTCCTTTGCCCAGTGTCCCTCTGACTTCGGTATGAGTCTGACACAGCTTGCATCATCCTGAGCTGTGCTTGGTGGCGCTCTCTGTCCTTCTTATCACCTTCTCTGGCCTTGTTCTGGTTCTGAATATTTTGTGCATGTTCCGCATGCCTCTTAACTTCAGCGAGTCTGGCGTCATCAAGTCCCACGCAACTGTGTTCTACTGCTGCTTTAATTGCGGGTTGTAATCCATTTAGGAAGTAGTGGCGTAGGTGTGTTTCCCAGGACCCGGGTGCATCCCCCAATCGAGGTGGTTCAGGGATGCCGCTGTTTTCGTTGAAAATCTGGTAAAACCGATGATAAAAGTCACTTATTGACTCTTCAGGCTTTTGTTTGCAGGAGGTGATTTTTGACATGTCCACGCAGTTTTAATGGCGGCCTGGATGGTGGCGACCCTTATTTTGTAGGGGTCGTTGTCTGTGTGGGTATAATCAGCGTTCACCACTCGTTCGTCACCTGCACAGGCTCCCCTGATTTTGCCGTAACTTGTAGGACCCATCTTTTTGACTAGGAGCCGTCGGATTTCTGGAGCGGTGGGTTGAAATTCTGCACAGAAGTCATCCAGGGCAGCAGCAAACTTTGCGCCCGATGCGTCAGGATCGGGAAGGTGGACGAGGGCCTCCTTCATGTCCTGTTCTGTCCATGGTCGAAACACCACCTGGGGACCTCCTTGTCCCATGACTCCTCTTTCAGTGTCCAGATTGGCGTGTGCTGGGGGCTGTGGCGGTGCAGTCGGTGGCGTGGGTATGGGCTGGTTTGATGGATCTGGGTGTTGGTACGCTGGTGGTGGCTGCGGCGGAGGGTACGAGTGGAGGAGAGGACCTCTGTGACCTGTCGGGGAAGGATAAAGAGACCTCTTAGGTTTCACTTTGTCATATCTCTCATCATCTGTCACACTCATCTTAGCTATCTGACTTTGCAACTGTTTTCTTTCCCTGTGTTCTGCTTCTTCTTCCCACATTTTTAAACACTTTCTATGGCTATCTATCTCGTCTAAGTCCTTTGTTTCTACTCTCTTTTTCTTTCTTAGCTCTCCCTCTTTCTTTTCCAACTGCAGCTTGAGTTTCTGTAACTCTGTTTTACTGAATGAGCCTTCCATAGGGAAGCCGGAATCTTGAGACCAACATCTCAGGTGTTTCACACTTTTCTCTGTGTATTTGCTCGTCATTATGTCCACCATAGGCCCCTCTGGAGGAGGTTGTCCTTCTCTACTTTCTCTGTTTCCCATTATTGAGTACTCTTTTTGTGCCCGGATCTCTTGTCCGTCACTTTTTAAACACAGACGTCTCCGTGAGTTCAGGTTTCTTATTTGGTTTCGGGGTTAAAATGCATTAAAACTTTCCCCGCGGCCTCTGCCGGTGGTCCCAGACCACTGTGGTTTTCTGTACCACTTAAAGTCAGATACAGACGTGGACTATAGTGACATGTATGACGTTTCAAATACACAAACAAAATGCCTTTTTATATAACCTTCTTTCAGAACTCAAAAAAGTCTAACATTGCCTTTTAGAAACTTTACATCTCACCGGATTAGGCCGTTGATTCCTTTTTTCTGACCCAATCGGTCCGTTGGATCTCTGCGGGGACGACCCGGTCTCCCCGGTCAACGGTCCTCTCTTCTCTTCAGACTAAGGAGGTAGAGGTGGAATCTTTTCTCCAGATGATCAGTCACCGTTGTCCCAAGGAGTCCAGGCAGTCACCGAGAAATCCTGTTTGTGACGCCAAGTTTGTGGTGGAAATTCAATTCAGCCCATTCATGTGAGATGCAAGAATTAGACAGAGTCAATCAGTCAGTCTTTTCACCCGGGTGTAACTCTGCGCAGAGTGAGCCTCTCCGCTTGTTAGCATGAGAAGGACTCCCTTTTCAGAGCTGCACTCTTATTTATTGAAGAAAGAGAAACAAATCAGGTGGTACATAGGAGATAACAGTTTGAATGAACATCATAACCTTGATCAAAGGGAGATGTCTGGGGCCAGTCTCTAGAGGAGTCATCCTCTCCTCCCATAGCGACAGTAAAACAATTGAGACATTGTAATCACCGGTTGACCGTTAATCTTCATCGTGTGGGAGAGGTACCAGGTGCTGAGGGCACCCTTGAAACAGTTAGGCATTTTTGTACACACAATAGTTCATAAGCATGAGGTTACATAGAGTGCATGCACTATAAGTCATGAGAGTGAGGTTACTATAGAGTGTATTAAAGTGTTTACATAAAATGTATCATAATGTATTAAAATTTTCCATTACAATGTCTAGGTAGCCCTTGTAATGTTTCGTCCTGACTTCTTCAGGCTTCTCGCCATGACATACAATAAAATTCCCCTTATTTGGGTTTCACTGGGGAGAGGTCTTGGTCTCTAGAAGCCTATGGTTAGTTTGAGGTGGGAAAGCAGAAGCACAGGACTGTATGAGAATAGAGCTAAATCCATCTGCTGATCTGTGGCTCAGGTCTGTTGACCGACGGCACCTAGAAGCTCCTCGATGTCTGTGCACCTTGAAAGGAATCCCTCCTGTTGCTCTTCCTGAGGTTTCTTCCCTTGTTTTCCTGATAAAGGGTTGTTTGGGGAGTTTTTCCATATATGAGTAAAGGGTCTAAGGACAGAGGGTGCTGTATGATGTGCAAGCAGTAAAGCCCCTTGACGCAAATATGTGTTTTGTGGTATTGCACTATGAGTTTACTTAAAGAGGTCCAGTGGCAGCCTCGTCAGACATCTCATACTGTACATATGTGTGAAATCTTTAATGGGTTTCGTACACAGAAGGTCAGTCCACACAAGCATACAAATCCAATCGGCTTCATGGCCTTATTCCTGTGATGTATTTGAACAAAATTATAAAAATAAAGTTGAAAAACAACAACAAAGCAAAACAAAAACAAATCCAATCAGGAAAGGCAGAGACAGGGTCAAACAACAGGCAGTAATCCCAAACAGCCACATGCACACTGAAGTGTGTAAAAAGGAATTTTAATTTATAAATGACTTAATGTCATACTCACTGCCTGATGTTATGTCAGTAAAGTACTTAAAATACTAGGTAAAATACTGGTATTAGTCATATTCACAGTGATAACTCTGGTGGTTAACCAATATTTATACTGTACAGGGAAGGAAAATGACTTGGCTCTTCTGAGACTGATGCTAGAGGCATCTGGAAGAGCTTCTCTAAGAGAACTGACACTTTTATGTCCCAGTTAACTTAAATTATTAGCTGAATTCAATTAGCTTCATTGATGTGCACAAAGTGCACTGGATCTGATCTCAAACCAAACACTGGCTGTAGATAGGACTTTTCGTGATTTTGGCGAGTTTCGCCGCCACTATAGTTTCTCATGCACACTTCACAGTCTGTTCTCATTCCCAGGTTGTCAAATACAGACACTAGCCGTGTTAAGTTAGTTACAATCTGAAAATTCACCACTACATGCTACTAAATCCTACACACCGGTCCTTTAAATCTTTGGCTCATGTCTTGAACCTTTCTTTCAAAATCTGTCTGAATGAGAAACAAAAAAAGAAGATATCCCACTCAGTGAAAGTTGCTGTGAGTTCTGTAATGTTAGGTGCATACTGTTCATTACTCTGACTGCCTGTGGGGTTTTGGGGCATTCCATAGAATTTAAGACGCCTAGAGTAAAGTTTCTGTTGTGCCTTCTTGAAGACCTAGCTGGCGTTTAGAAACCAGGAGAGGCAGTCTGAGATCTGAATGTCACAATTCACAATTCCAACAGGGAAGATATTGATGTAAACTGGTGGCTGGACTGTTGTCTTCTATAACCATACCTGGTAGCACCATGCCTAAAGGCTGCTGTGTCACATTTTATGTCCTCTGTCTCAATATTTGTGACGTGTGGGGCGTGTAAGTACGTAAGGGTGTGGAAACTGGAAGCTGGTGGTCAGTGTGTTATATCTGTCTTCACACTTAACTCAAAACGTGTTGTTGGTGGAATTACTAAACAGAATAAAGTAACATAGGAAGTGAAGCTAAAACAGACTTCTGGTGGCTCGTAGTAAAAGGTCACTTAATCAGCACCGATGACTAATTTACCACAACATCACATTCACATTGCACAGACGACCAAAACAGCAAAATGAAGCATCTTAATGACAGAAAAGGTGACAAATGTCAGAAATATGGGATTCAGTAAGGTGGTATACGTCAGGGCTGTCCATTTCCATGGATTCAGACCGAAAGGACTCATCAGCCCCTATTTCTTTGATTTGTTCTATATAATTACACAGATCGCTGATCTGCAATTACTAATATAATTGTTTTCCTGGCTGGCCATAGGATTTGGGCTCCTAATGGCTAAAAAGCAACAACCCTGTGTTGCTCCTGTGTTGAGAACTATGGTAGATAAATATCTACTCTCTACTGTCTAAGCTCTGTCAAAACCACATACAAATGGAACTACAAAGAGGCCAAAGTCTCTGAGATTTAACAGCAGTTTAGGTGGTACAGTGGTATTAAGTGCAGAGCTGTGGTCAATAAATAACAATGTGGCATAAATGTCCTTTCCATGAAGATGTTTTAACACATCTTAAACAGCAAATGATGCATATTATCTATCAAGCAAGGAGGATAGAAACTGTCTCGTGGTGATGAAGAATAATTTACATTGTAGTTGTTCTCCTTTTACCAAAGTAAAGGATGTTAATACTTTCTCCATGTGCATGGCTCTGATGTTGAAAGAGTACTCACATAATACAACTGGAAGGCTGCTTGTTTTAGCTGCTACTATACTGCCTCGTCCCTACTAACTGCCATAGTAATGTCATTTATCATTATATTTAAAGTATTTCTTAGTCATTTATTTGACAGAAATGGCCCAAACATAAAGTTTGCAGTAAAAGTTTGTTGCCCCAAAAATATGAACCTACATCACTTCCACCGTGTTGTCAAGAAACCACAGTTTAAACAGGAGAATCCACCTAATACCAGAGTGGATTGTGGTACATTATTATGAACATGTGGTTTCATTATCTCTTCTTGCAGCTGTGATAAGTGGTGTTTATGATGATATCTCTCCACAAAGCATTAGTCATTTAGTAATTTCACCCACAACACGTTTTGAGTTAAGTGTGAAGACAGATGTAACACACTGACCACCAGCCTGTTTCCAGAGACAGAGGACTTAACTGAAGACTTCAGACTTCTTTTGAACAGACAGCAGTGATTCCAGTTCCCAGCTGTCCTTGTTACCATGCCATCTCTCTCTGACTATGCTGTCTCTCCACATGTATTGAGGTAAATGGAAAAAGGGGGAAACTTTGGCAGGGTGGGCTCCGTGTGGGAAATACAGACACTGTTCTCACACTAGTTGGGGTTTTCTATCTGTTCTCCCAGCCATGTGGAGAGACTGTCTGCCTATAATCTTACTACAGTATTCCAACTGCTTTAACACCAGTGCCCGCCACAGACTCTCACGGTGTCTCTGGACCAGTTAGGAAATGGTGGAAATGGAAACTTGTTTACTCCAATGAAACCCTCTGACAGTGCAATTTTAACCTCTAGCACAGGTATGGAGTCCTAATATATAATACGAAATATTTGATACAAAAATCTGCTGTCTTGCAGCTTTGAACAGGTTTATTCAGTATGACAGTAGTTTGTCTGTCGTCCTTGAAGAAATGGTACTGTTAAAGCCTGTCCTGTAATACTGCACACACACATCTGAGATCTGGGTGTGTCTGTGTGTGTGTGTGTGTGTGTGTGTGTGTGTGTGTGTGTGTGTGTGTGTGTGTGTGTGTGTGTGTGTGTCGGGTGGAACAGGGCCTATCAGAAATTTTCCACTGGGATTTAGAAGTGCAAAATGAAATAAAAGGAGAGCAAAAAGGGACTGACATTTTAAAGAACGTGCTTTGTTGAAGTTTTGTCCACATTTTGACTTTGGATAGACACACACTGGTTCCATTAAAAACAAGAAAAAAATATGCCAATATAATGAGCCATTCCTTCCTTGATTCCAAAATGATTCAAGATATAGACAGTTCAAACAAACACAGTTTAAACAAACAAGACTAATCCATGTCTGACAGCTTGAAATGATCTCACTGTAAGTATAACAGCAGTTTCTCTCCAGGCAGGGACACACAGTGCAGTGCAAGCAGACAATGACCATGTAAAA